TATATATATATATTGTACTGATAAAGTTCCTTTACAGTTTCTTTTTATTTATTAATCTTTGTGCCAATAAGTGGCAGCATGAGACTTAAAAATTTATACTAATGACAGTAAAAATAAACCTTTTTTCTAAACTTTTAATATTTTTATATAAATGTAATAATTAAGTTTTATTGTTCAATATTATAATTTTAACTAAGAATAAGTATTATGTAAGCCTTTAATTTTATATATTTCACTTCTTGATTGTAAATTTAAATTATACACATTAACTGTATGGTGGCAACACACTGTACCGGTAAAAAGCTTAGACTCACTTTTATTTCTTTCAAAACTTTCAGAAATAGTTAAATATTTCTGACATAAACGTATAATTTATCAATTATAAACATCAAGAAACTTCGCAAAACGCTGTTTGCGTTTAAAACAGTTCATTATTTTTTCATTTTATACCTATTCTGTAGTTGATTACGGAAGGAACGAAAGTATGTAAATATATATTCTAAAAAAACGTAATTTATTTAAAAAAATTCATCAATTTTTAGTTTATACATAATTTACTTTAAATTTTCTTTTGTAATGTTCATTATAAGCTAAGTTAATGTTCATGTCAAATTTTAAATATTGATATAATAGCCTTCATTTGGCAGAATAACTGGTACATATTAAAAACAAAAATTAACATTATTTTATACAATTTATTAAAGAAAATAGGGATCAAAAGCCAGAAATAAGTGTCGAAACACCTGCAATTATTATTGCATTTCATGGAGAAGGCTATTCGAGTAAATAAATTGCCTCTGAAACTATTTTTTTCCAGACCACTGTTGTCAGAACTTTGCAATGGAAGAAGGAAACTGGCCAACATAAGAGCCGCCAACGATCAGGGAGACCTAGAATAACGTTCAAACGTGAGGGTAAGTTTATCGGCATTTGAAGTAAGCGTCAGCGGACCCAAACAGCACCAGAAATCCGTGAAAAGTTGAATGGTACTAGACTGAAAACTGCGTTATTACTACTTATATTACCAATATATAACGACTTATATTACCAACAAACACAAGAATATGTTTTTTTAAGAAAAGGATGAGATAATATCCATAAAAAAATAATAAATAATAAATCACGTAGAATTTTAAAAGAAAATTGAAGTAGCCATTTAAGCATAACAGGCACGAATTTTGACACAGAAATTATTGTTTACATTCAGAATCATTTTATTTCTAGAGAGTGAAGAAAAGTGTCTTACATGTGCTAACTTAACAAAGTAAACTAAAACTGAGTTTTTATTAAGAATGTGCAATACACACACAAAGTAATTCCTTATTTAGTTTGTTTGTTTAATTTGATGAAAATTAATGATGTCATTAACCACCTGAAATTTCAATTATTTTAAATTGAAATCAACTCTCCTTGCATTGATCTTAATGTTAATCTTACTTGAAATGATTTAATGTGCGTCAGCTTTCGAACTGGTGGTCTGAGAACGAGACAACCACCGTATGATAGTGTGTAATAAAAATTTAAAAAATCTATCACATTGGATAACTTTCTTTCGAATGATCGGATTTTACGAACTAAGTGTCTAGAATGGTTAAGAAATGTGATCTCAAATATACTAACTAACTATTATTCAACTAACTATTACTCAAGATACGTTATCAGATAGATAAACGTACTTTCTCTGAATAACTTTTTTAAAACGGATTTGAATTTTTGTGTATCTAAATATGGATAGAGGATAGCCCTCAATATGGTCCCAGTATTTCAAACAGAAAAGCAGACTAAATTTTTAGTTGCTTATATTAATCTTTTTTTCCTTCTATTTGCCATTTCAAAGAATTCATGCTTTTAAATTTTTATTTTTTGAGAACTACTTTGCTTATCCCCTTACAGTTTTAAGTTTGTCATTAAATTGATGTAAAAATTTGTAAATCTTAGAATATAAATTTATTTGATCACAATTAAATTATATAATAAAAATATATTATGTAATAAAAATAATTTTTTACGTATGATTATCTTTGGCTAAATAAGTTTCAACTGTTTTCTTGCATTAAATGTATTGTAACCCTGTTTTTAGACTGAGGCTACTCTTTATAGTTTAAGAGCTTGAAATTCAAATTCATTAAAATTTTGAAAATTATTCCGAAAAGCTTTGTTTTTGTGTCTGACTTCGTAACCTTAAACCATTAAACTTATTAAACATACCATGTTTAATGCAGTAAGGATTCTAGAAATATTTATGAACTGAAACGAATGACTAGAAAAAGTCATTAAAAATTTTCCCTCGAGATTATTACTGTCGATTTCTTTGCTATCTTATTATGTCAGTAGTTGCGGATCAAAGAGAAACATTTATTTTTATTCATCTAGATTTCAATTGAATGAAAAAAAGTCAAACTTTAACTATATTTTAGCAAACATACTTTTCAATTATTTAATAAAGAGAATTTTTTCGAGAATCTTGGTGATATATTTGATTAGAGTTAATGAAATACCTTTCAATTGCAACCATTAGTTCAAAGTGCTTCTTTTCGCTCTTTGATATTTGTAATTTTCAAATGAATGGGGTAAGCAGCTCTATTTGACTTACTATAACGAGAATATATACTCCTTCCTTGCGAGGCAATGTTTGAAAGAAAACGATTAAAATAAGTTTGGAGACATACAGTGCAATGTAACCATTATTTTTTTCCAAATTAAATACGGGGATAAAATAATCATGTTTTATTTACCTTTCTATATATTCCATCTTCTTTTGATACTTCTATTTAAAAAAGGATTTTGCAGGCATCAAGAACTCTTAGTGAAGAAATTTTTTTCATATTAGCTATGAGTGCAATTTACCAAAAGCTTAGTATTTGATCGAATTTTTTATTACATTCAATTTATTTTTAATAGAGAAACCCTAGTAATTTGAAATATTTTAAATGTTTTTAAAATTTTTTTTTACCAAATTTATTTCTATTTAGCACTACTCGTTTTCCAGTTGTTTTTCATATCTGAATTTGGCAATTTCAGTATTCGTAGTTTTCTCTTTATTTATTCCAGAATAGAATCGTATCAGTAAGTTAGTCTGAAAGATCCAAATGGTTGCTTGAATAAATTCTGAAAATTAAATGTGCCGATATCTTTTTTATAATGTAATATTCTTATAAGTTTTCTTTCAGTCCTTAAAAATTGAATATTTTTTTCCTTTTGCGCCTCTCCCCTTCCCTGCTCTTAATACTCTCTTTCACTTACCAGAAAATATCAATCTCAAAAGCAATCAATCAATCTCAAAGAGAGAAAATTCTTAATATGCTCCTTTTTACTTAATTTAAACTGAAGTTGTTTTCTCTATTCGGTAGTATCTTTCAAATCATGGAAATTACCTAATTAGAATGGGAGTTGCATTTTAGAATAACAATCGATTTTTTTCTTCCAAACAATTCTGACACAAGTATTTCTAGAAATTTAATTTAATATAACACATTTGTCGATTTTTGATAAATTCCTTAAATTACCTACTTTATTATTGCGCTATTTGTGATAGGAGAAATTTATAACCTTATCCCAATCGATTTTCACTACCTTTACTATAATTAAAAAAAACTTGAACACAAACAAAAGTTCAGTATTTTATTGCCACTACAAAGATATAAAATATATTATTATTATTTTTTGAAGAAAAAAAAAACATAGAAATTCTAAGAGCTATTTCTCCTAATCCAATGTGTACAACTGAATCACTTATTTTTCAACCTATTTGAAAAGTGTAGTAAAATAGTATTCTATCAATTAACGTTTATTAAAAATAAGAAAAAGAAATTACAAATCTCTCGGAGGGCGAAAGTTTAAAAATTAGACGAAAATTCAAGATGACTGATTCTTCGACTGAACTTATCCATCAGAAAAATCAAACATTCTTTTTCTTATTCCCCTTTAATTTATAAAAATCAATTTTTGGTGGGTATTTACAATACTTAGCACTATTTTTGAAACATGTCAAATGCGTGAAGACATTAAGCTGACTGAGTTCTAAAAATTTCATACGTTTCTCTAACGAAATCATTCCAATGCAATTAATTATTAATTAAGCATATTCAAAATTATTTTTGCGTGCAACATTTGCCTGTTTTCATTTTTTAAATATATTTATTTGTGCATAATTTATGTGTCAAAAGAATTTTTCAGCATCATCCAATTTGGGTTTCGTCAGTTTAAACAGAAATAAAAATATCTGAAAATTTTTGGTTATAGATAGATAAATAGATAGTTAGACAGATGGATAGATAGATAGTGAGCGAGATTAAGTCTGGATTTGATAGCCACAGTGAAGGCCAATTTAAATATCTCCGAAATTTAATATATTGCAGCTAGCACAGTTTCACAGGGAAGCAGTTTACTTGTTTATGAATGTGTACAAAACGTTGCTGCAATATATTAAATAAGTAAGTTATTCATGGTTATTCAAACAATAATAAGTAATTCATGACTAATAAGTAATGGTAAGTTATTCATGCAATATATTAATGAGTGTCGTAAGTTTTTCATGGTTAATTGTATGAAATGTGTTATTTTCTATATTTTAACTTTATTAATAATATTTTTTTTTAAAAAATTCACCTTATTTCAATGTACGAATTTCAAGTAAAATTTAATGCAGTGAGTGCAGTTTTCAAAATTTAGTGGGGCTTGTCATAACACTCACCGGAGAAACAATTTTTTATCTGTTAAATCATATAACTGCCAAGTTGAAAACAGTAGAATTTCACGGTTAAACAAACTGTTAAAAAAATGCAGTTTAGAGTATTANCTCTATATCACTATATATATATATACATAGCTCCCTTCGTATAATAGCTTGTTCCTTCTTGGCTAAATCACATTTTTTATTGAAATGTGTCTGTCTCGTTATTTTTCCTATAACCTTTTAGGTTTACAGCTGGAAAAAATCGAAATACTGTATATAGAACCTAAACCTTGGTATGTTCATTCTGTACTTTTATTTGAGCTTAATTCACGTGGTTTTGTAATATTCATTAATGAAAAATGCCTAATAGAGAAGGAAATATAACTATTTAATTTAGGACTAAAACTATTGAATTTATTTCGCTTTGAAAACATTCGATGAGCAGTTTCCTTAATACTCTAAACTGCATTTTTTTAACAGTTTGTTTAACCGTGAAATTCTACTGTTTTCAACTTGGCAGTTATATGATTTAACAGATAAAAAATTGTTTCTCCGGTGAGTGTTATGACAAGCCCCACTAAATTTTGAAAACTGCACTCACTGCATTAAATTTTACTTGAAATTCGTACATTGAAATAAGGTGAATTTTTTAAAAAAAAATATTATTAATAAAGTTAAAATATAGAAAATAACACATTTCATACAATTAACCATGAAAAACTTACGACACTCATTAATATATTGCATGAATAACTTACCATTACTTATTAATCATGAATTACTTATTATTGTTTGAATAACCATGAATAACTTACTTATTTAATATATTGCAGCAACGTTTTGTACACATTCATAAACAAGTAAACTGCTTCCCTGTGAAACTGTGCTAGCTGCAATATATTAAATTTCGGAGATATTTAAATTGGCCTTCACTGTGGCTATCAAATCCAGACTTAATCTCTCTCACTATCTATCTATCCATCTGTCTAACTATCTATTTATCTATCTACAACCAAAAATTTATCTATTTCAACTATTAAAAAGTATTTGTCTCATTACTTCCACAATCGTTATTTACTCAATACGAATTGCAATTTTTAGCTCTAAAACATATTCCATCACTCTACAAAAGGAGTAAATCGATTTTTCAAATAATAAAAACATCCCTAAGTAAATCTCTTGTAAAGAAACTTATGAAAGTACTGAATGCATTCAAGAGAAAATTTTTTAAATGAGTATGCAATGTTTTTACTTCTCAATGATTCTTTTGTCCTAAGATTGCGAGTAGACTTCCAAGAATAAGAACGGGAGGTACTGGCACCTTTTTACTCATTCATAGAGAGTTCGAAGTGTTTTATGTTCATTAAAGGTGACATCAAACAAAACGGGGATTTCCTTTCGACTCGATCATATTGCTAATGAAAATTTGCTTGTTTTGAAAGCGCAACAATGGAATAATTTTGCTGGGTTAAAGAAATATGACAAAAAACTTCAGCGCTTACACTAGATGGAGCAAAATGCAATGTATATACTAATGGGTATTAAGATAACATAAGGAATATAAAATGTTTTTCGGTTATTATAATCGAAGGGTCGAAGTAAAGGAGGTCGCACTAAAGAGAGAATATACAACACCTTAGGCGGATGCACCTACTTTCTCAGTTCAATTTAGTTCAATGTTATTCCGAAATATCGGTACCTTGTAATTTAATACAGTACAAATTTTATGAAAATTTAAAATGGTGTTAAGAGAGCGCTATACCACGAGAGAAAACCTTTATGGCAAATTCTGTTTTACCTCTATTGATATATAAATTTTAGAAAAAAGTGAGGTAAGGAAGTCACAATTGCTAAAAAATTTTTTTTAAGTTATCAAAATACAAACAAATTATTGCAGGTTTATTTTCCCGTTGCGTAATCATGAGTAATTCTGACAGAATGATTGAATAATTCTACTTGCAGTTTGAAATTATTTTTCAGAATTTGGAGCTTCACATCTTACTGTTGGTTGATCTGAAATTAATTTTTCTATACTTTAAGTTTTAAATTACTTATGCTAGTGAAGGAGAATTAATTTGCCATAAACTGTTTCTTTCGCTCTATAGCATCCTTAAGATGATACAAAATTTGATATCCCTCTGACGTAAAATTTTTATGAAACATATTTTTCATACTGATTTTATTAAAAGTGAAAAATATTATCTTTTACATTTAATAATTTATTGCTTATGAAATACACCTCTAGACGCAGGTGTTTTTTTTCCTGCTTTAAAGGTAAAATTTCAAATTTGCACTTACTTGCCGTTTCGTAGATCTTAGAGAAACAGTTATTCATCATTGAAAATTTTTTTTTAATCTACAAAATCAATTATAGATTACTTTTTAAATAGAATCTTTTTTTCAAGCTACATTTTTTGAATTGCATATTTTAGTACTAATACAATTCCGATAATCTAACAGATTTTTTTTAGTAACTATTAGACTATGCTTAATAATTAAAAGATACCAAAATGTATTTTTACTAGTCATTAGAACGACAGAAAAAAAATATATGAAAAGGACACCGGTGTCCCATTTGCGTCAAAGGGTTAAATTGAGCAACGTTCAAGTGTAACTGTAGTATCATGAAAGCTAAAATAGGAAGTACCGTCATGTGGGGCTACTTTGCAGGATTTCGCAGTTTTTGAACTTTGACATGTAAAAAAATTATGTTTATTCAAACTTTAGTAAAATTTATCGATATTATATTCATAACTGGACTCAGACGAGTGAATTTGATCAATATTGGCATTATTTGTATGTAATATTTACAAATAATAAGTCAAAACATACCTTGCACAAAGTAGCCCCCAAGTGGGGCTACTTTGTGCAGTCATAGGAATTCAGTTTAATAATTATGCTTTTAGTAAAATATTGATATAAAATTGCTAAAAAAGTTAATTGTTGACACTTTTAATAACAAAAACATCAAGATATGTAAAGATATTAGTTTGAAAAAAAATTTCAGTGTTAAAAAACCATTTTTTATAAGGAATTTTTTCTTAATTTTTTTTTTTATTTCAAAACATTTGAGTTTAAACAAAAGGAAACTATATACATTTTTGAACATTGAAATGGTTCAAGCTTCAAAAATAATAATTATTACATATTCATTAACATTTATAATATTGATAAATTTGAACATAACATGCTTGAATGAACATGACAGAACTTGCTCTTCAGTTTCTGTCAAAATCACCTGATGTCGTATAAAGTATATTTTTATGTGTTAAATCGTTTGATTCGTTCACTAGAAAAATCATTATAGAAGAAAAATAATAGTTTACCAGCACGTTTCACGTGTTTCTTCTGAATTTTATTAGAGATAGTATTTCTGTGGATTTTGTACTTCAGAGAAGCTTCTGCAATCGACATACCACCAGCAACTGCATGCAAATATTGTTGCAGCTTTTCTAAAGTGTAATCACGGTAGTTTTTCGTTCCAGGTATTTTTTTTATAACGTCTGACCATTTTTCTTTCGAAAAAAAAAAACGAATGAAACTTTGCACAAAGTAGCCCCACAGTGCATTTTTTTTCATTTTCCGTTTATTTGCTATTAATTTTCAAATTTTTTTTACGATAACCTGGTATAATTGTTTATTAATATACACTACCGGTCAAAAGTTTGCGAAAATTTTGAAATCTACGAAAGAATGGTCCAAATTTAAAAGTTCATAGAACTGCGAAAAATCATTCAAACTGCATGAAAATTTGATATGTTCTAAAGTGAACCCTCTACATTTAGTTACATATGATCAAATTGCAATACTTTATTTTTTGTGAACTGAATCCAGCTTTTCATCATGGGTTGTTTCTTTGGTGAAAAAAGTTGTTAAGTTTGAACACCTGCCAAACTTGCAAAAATTTTTTTTTATACTTTCTGTTAATAGAAAATAGTTATTTCAACCGTTCTATGTAAGCTCTAAAAATTTCAGATCGATTTGATTTTTTTTGACGAAGTTATAGATTTTTGAAAAGCATGTGTACTTTTCTCGATTTTTGAGCATTCCACATATGAGGTCTTTTGGTCTATACATCTTCTACCAAAGAACTTTTTAATTTTAATGTTTTCTATATTTTCAACTAATTAATATTGATTATAAAACAAATATTCTTATTCATTATTGTAATTACAAAGAATTTATTATGAATATAATTAAAACAATATCTCATAAATGTCACATTTCATCGAAAATTTGTTTGTTCTTGCAAACGATGCTCTGATATTTCGAATCGAAATCAGTTATGGGACATTTTACAACAGGAATGGAACTCTATATCACTTGAAGTGATTAATGGTTTGTTAGATCGAATGCCACGCATATGTAAGGCTATAATAAAAGCAAAAGGTGGATGGTTCGAGGAATCTAAGATTTAAATGTTAATTTATTTAATTACAAAATACGAATAAGAATATGTTAAATATTTGACCTGTTGTAAATAAAATAGTTTAGTAAAAATGCAAATTTTTTATACTATTGTTATTATTTTTTTAGAATTATTTATGTAATTATTGTTATAACTTTTTATTTTAATTTAATGTAAAGTAAAAATATCACAACAAAACTAATACATATAAGCAATAAATATAAACAATAAATATAAACAATAATAGTTACAATAATGAATAAGAGTATTTGTTTTATAATAAATATTAATTATTTGAAAATATAGAAAACATTAAAATTAAAAAGTTCTTTGGTAGAAGATGTATAGACCAAAAGACCGCATATGTGGAATGCTCAAAAATCGAGAAAAGTACACATGTTTTTCAAAATTCTATAACTTCGTCAAAACAAATCGAAACGATTTGAAATTTTGAGGGCTTACACAGAACGGTTTAAATAACTATTTTCCATTAACAGAAAGTACAAAAAATTTTTTTTGCAAGTTTGGCAAGTGTTCAAACTTAGCAACTTTTTTCACCATAGAAACAACCCATGATGAAAAGCTGGATTCAGATCGCAAAAAACAAAGTATTGCAATTTGATCATATGTAACTAAACGTAGAGGATTCACTTTAGAACATATCAAAATTGCATGCAATTCGACTGATTTTTCGCAGTTCTATGAACATTTGAATTTAGACCATCTTTTCGTAGATTTCAAAATTTTCGCAAACTTTTGACCGGTAGTGTATAAGTAAAATATTTTGCTCTTACGACAATTGTTTTATCAGCGTCTTTTCATTCCACAGCTAAAGCTTCCACGCACACTTTTCGACGTCCAACTTTCTCGGAAAGTTGTTGACATTGGATAAACAAAACACACTCTGAGATTGTTTTAAAATTCGAAAAAATGTTTGTAGTAATAGAGGAGACTTCTATCTTCAAATTCCACACATTTTTAACAGGAAAAAAACATAATACTGAATAGCAGCACTTGAAAAGTGCCAAATTCGAATTTGCACAAAGTAGCCCCCGCTGCACAAAGTAGCCCCACATGACGGTACTATAAGTTTATTCAGCACCATATTTGGATGTCAGGTATTAAAGATATTTTGGTTCAACATACTTTTAAAATTTCTAATAGTGGGGATTCAATAAACTTTTTAATTTAAATCATACTTTATTCCCATGCTTTATATCATGCTATATCATGCTTTATTTCCCATAAAATCAACAGAATATTTACAACTAACTGCAATTGAGTTAATATTTAGTGATTCTTATAAGTTAGATTTTTTCCCCCAGATTTCCCAGTATAGAAAATAATGTAAAGCTTTTCTCCAACTTTGGCGAATTGGCGTCTCTTTCGTCATTTGTTTGGCGCGGAAAGACTTACCTCTAACATTAAAACGTGTCGATTGTCTTTCAGAAAGCGACGCAGTAGCCAGGAATGACGTAGGATTCCGAAAAATTTCTCTCTTTCTTCAGAACTGCGGTGGGAGATGAAAAATTTCTACCTATCTGGTTAGATAGAAAAGTTTTCGAATAGAATTCTTGCATTGAAACAGGTAAAGACCTTTTAATATTTTGTCGTTTGGATATTACCGAATTAATGGCAGATATAACCTATGAAACTGTTACGTAATCATAGGTTTCAGCCAGCACCCTTAAATAATTTGATGAACGATTATGAAATAAATGATTTGATTAGAAACTTTTATCACTTAAGACTTATTTATGCACAGATAGTAAGACTATAATTTATAAATTTTGATTTGAAGTGAAATATATTTCGTGCATTTTAATGATTCACTTATTGACAGTGGTTGATTTATACACCCGACATACCAGAAACATGCTGTCTCATTATCAAAAATATGGAATTTATTTATACGATGGGTCACACAATGAGTCATGCGGTAAATATATATTTAGAATAATAGTTTTTGCGACTGATGCCAACAATGTATGAGAGCAACGAAATTTTTGAGCTTTATCAAAATTCTCCTTTAATTTTAATCAAGGTTCTCTTGAGATTCCCCTATCTACCAACTTATCTATCAACATTATCCACCTATGTGGTAAAAGAACTTCATCACATTATTTTTTTCTTATATTTTTTAAAATTCATTTGTTATATGTATTTAAATATTTTCAAGTCATAACCACCAATATGTCCACGTATTTTAATTACGTTTAGGAGATTTGTTTGAAATTTTTGAATAGTTCAGCATTAAACCGGAAAATCTAAATGATATTTTATTTGTAAAAATATTTTATTTTTTTGTAGTAGAAAAATTTAAATTTTTAATCCTGCGTACACTTTTTACCAAATATTCAAAATTATTCACATTTTAGAATTAATGTGATATGCAGCAATAAGTATAATTAAATTTTTTATTACAGAGACAGAAACTTTGGTTTTGGAGAAAATGCTGAAAGCAAAGAAGAATAAATCCTACAAAGAAAGATTCTTTCGAGATTACAAAGGGCAAGGAATGTTCGGCAGTGAAGTAATCCAAAAGCTGAAAAAGCGTCTGAAAGAGAATGTAAGAACTAAAACAGCAAAGAATTTTTTTTGTAGTTATAATTTTCATTTATTTATTTTATTAAACATCTTCCCTATGACTAGTTGAACAGAACTTGTATATTTGAAATTATTTAAAAATGTATAATAAATTTAAAAAATTTTAATCCAAAAACTGCTAATAGTTAAAAAATAAGTATTTTGTTGATTTATTGTATTTGATCGAAAAAATACATAAAATTAAAGTGTTAACTTAAAATAAAAATTTTGTTTTAATCATACTTGCACTGTTTGAAATACAATAGTCCTATGATTTCTAGTGATTTAGTTTAGAAAGCTCAACAACATGTAATATACTGTAATATTTCAAACAAATTATCTATAACTATATTTATTAACTATGTAATTTCAACTTAACTAGTCATAACTTATCAAAATGCTTTTTTCCAAAAATTATTCGAAGAATTTTTTAAAAAATGTTTAATAAAACAGTTTATGTTTTTATTTTAATTTCTCGTTAACACATATATTACGTTAATAAATATTAAAAAAAATAAAATTTTTGAAATCGTAATTTTAATAATTTATGCAATGTTGTTTTGAATATACACATTAAATTTATAACGTCTTTTTTGTAATAAATAAGATTTTTTTTGTCTTTTAGGTTCTTTTTTAATAAAAAATTATTTTTGTTCACAGAAGACACAAATGAATAATTTAACTTAAATCTTCACATTTTTGTTTGAAGTTTAAATACCATGTTTCAAATATCAGCTCATTTCGCTTGCTTTGCTTAATGTCCAGAAATTCAATTTGCTGTATTTGACAGCATCATAGTGGAGAATAAGATTAAAGTAAAAAAAAAAAACATTTTTTTAAAAATATTATTCAAAATTGTGTGTGGCTGTTAGTATAACGCAAATACAAGTATGTGTCCGGCTAATTTTATTGCAACTTTATTTTGAATTTAATGAATAATTTTTTATTTTTTAATAAATAATTACTGATCAAATTTGCTAATCGTGACTTTACTAAGATATTTTTAAAAATAATTAAACTTTAATTGGTTTTTAAAAACTTAAACTAATTGGTTTTGTTATTTTGGAAGGAAGTTATTAATTTTTCTATTATTTGTTTTGAATTTAAATTCTTATTCTTTTAGCATTTATTTTTTCTTAATCTTTTCAGAAACTTCTGGAAACAAGAAGCGATCATCGATTCTTAAAAGTAACATTCACACTAATCTTGTATCTGTTGCATGGTTGAATGTCTGGTATTGTTATTCAAAAGATATTTATTTGTATATATTTGTATATATTTGCATACATTCTACTAAAAAATTAATTGTCCTCAAGTTAAAAGGTTAAAAGTTTAAAACATAAAAAAAAAAAATTAAAAATTTCTAAATTGTTTTCAAGGTTGTATCTAAGTTTTCCCAAACCAAGAAAAATTATTAAAAAATTCCACTGAAAAGTTGGAGATCGTCAAAAGTGCTGACCTAAATGTTCTGTGATTAAAACGCAGCAAAATAGTAATGCTTTTACCTTTTTATGAAGGACTTACTTAAGCAGAAAGTTTAATACTTCTTTTATAGTTTTTTTTTCCATATATATTTTTTCCTTTTTTCTATAATTTCTCTAGCTATTTTTTTTTGTTTTTTTCTTTATTATTTTCAATTGAATTTGCAATATCCTCTATAAAATGATTGGTATTTATTTAAAAATTTTATAATTTACTTGAAAGATTTTTCGATGATTTTTTAAAGATTTGAAATGATTGAAAGATTTTCTTTTATCAATCTCGTTTGTTTGAAAAAACAAAAATAATTATCCATTGCTACTGAAAGAAAATTATGATTTCATTTCAACACTTTTACTATTATGTTGTGAAATATAATGCATAGACATATGTTACATTCACCATTTATAATTTGAAATTAATAGGTGAATTAAAACGGAAAAGTTTTGTATTTTATATTTACTACATCCAGTCTTTTAGATTGTTTATTTATGTAAGTTTTAATTTAAACGAAAAGGAAATAAGCATGATTTTATATTAAATTACCGAAGAGCACTAAATTGCTTGCTCTTCAAATTCATAGTTTATACCAAACGTTCTATTTAAAATAAGTAGCAAGTTCTATAAAAACTAAGGCATAGCGGAACTATAGAAAATACGTTCCTTTGATGTCACAGCGGTATATTTTTAACACTAGTAAATGACTTATTTTCTGCGTTAAACAATTAATAAAACTTAGATTGACATTTATGTATTTGTAATATTTTTCATTCTTGTTAATTGTATTATACTGTATCGCACATAGTTCATTGTTAAGTATTTTATTGAATAACAATGTATTGAGCTGCATTTTCTCATCCTATTGTTTTGTATTATATGTCATATATTGTTCAGCTCGTTTTAAACATTTTTTACTTACTGTTTATAAATGAAAGCATAAGATACTATCGTCAATGTTTTGTTTATTATTTAGCATTTGATCTCTCATCGGGATGTGTTTCGGCGATATTCTGCAAACAGCAAAATGAGAGTTTCTAAATTTATGAATTTTTATTGTATTTTTATTTTAATTTTGATTATTTAAATTAAAAAAAAGCCTTAGTCAGCATCAAGAAGTAGTGATATCGTTGTATTTATGTGATAATTTTGTGTCTTTTACTTGAAATTAATTTTATTGATTTTTTTACTTCTCTTATAAACTTTTAACTTGTAATTTGATGTGATTTTCATTTTCTAATTGTTTTAAGAAACTCCACTAATTTTTAATGATATTAAGAGACCTCAGTAGCTTGTAGAATCAAACTAATCGAAAAATATATGAGTAATGGTTTGTGTAATGGTTTATAGTTACTTAAATAATGTTTTCATAACATTAAGTAATACCGATTTTAATTTAAATATATAAGAAACAAGCAATTATTTAGAAAAAAAGGTATTCATTACAAATCCACTGTTTATACCTCACAATACGGCAGATAAGAATTTCAATTTAAACTAATAAAAAATAAAACGATGGAAAATGTGTTATTTATGTTCTATGTTATGTTCTACTTATGTTATTATGTAAATTTATGTTCTGCTTCTAATAGTTGTGAGAAACAAGAATGGAGTTTCTGTTTTTGAATTGTTTTTAATTGATTGCATTATGAAGTATTGCATGGTATTTTCATACGCATTATTGTACTGTACCTTGTTGCATTGTACCTTTTTGTATTGCATCGTTTTATTGCATATAATATTGTGTATCGTTTGCATGTATTGTACAACATATAAAATATTTATTACTGTATTGTATACGTATTGGAAGCATGAGATAAAAACTTTATTTTGTTTATTATTCTGCTTTTAATTTATTTTAAAGTGCAGTCTGAAGTTATTTCGAAAACTGTGAAATTTTTATTTTTACTATGAAATTAGTTAACTTTTTTGAATTTAAAAAATTTATTGCACCAGGTAACTAACTAACTAACTGACTAACTACCAGCAAAACAGAAATTACTAAAGCTTCCTTGGCGTAATTAAACAGTGTTTAACAATTAATTTCAAGTTTCTGTAATAATAGTAGAATCTAATTTTGTTAAAAAGTTTTGACTTGAGATCTGTTATTTCAATTTTAGCTATGATTTAATTTTGTTTTTAGCAGAATTTTAAGCAGCAAGTAATTATTTTAGTTGTGGTATTATAATAAAAATAAGGGTTATTTTCAACTGGTATTATTTCACTTTCTGACCAAAGTTGTGAGTGTAAGACTTTCTAAAGTTTTATAAAAAAAAAATTATAAATGCTTGATTAATATTGTAAGACATTTCATTTAAATAAGTTTTAGTAATTTTATAACAATTGAAGTGTTCATGAAACATCTGAAAGTTTTACTTTTATAAATAATGTTATGTTTTGTTAAAAGCTTTTATTATTTTCTACATTGAAAATTGTTTAATTACGTATTGTGGCATCTAAAATGAAAAAAAATTAAGACATAAAATTAGATTCTCAAACATTTCACTTTCTTGGATTGCTGTAGAATTGAAATCGAAAACAGAAATAAAATCTTATTTAAAATATAAAACAGTACTTTCTCAAATAAATAGTAGTAATGATATAAAACAGTTCCAATACGAAAACCTTATTTTTTTATAGGAAGTTTTGACTCAAAATTTAGTTTAGTACAGTAAGTTCAAAATTTAAATCTTAAGTCTCACAGATTCCTATAAAAAACTCTTTTAAAATCATTTTAACTACATGCTATAAAATATTATTATGGTAAGGACTGTTAATTTTAGATTTCACTTATAATTAATTGTAAATTTTTTATGGAACTCTTAAATGTAATTACTTTTAGAAACCATTTTTCTCCTTTTGCATTTTAAATTTTCTTCCCGGATAACGTTACATCTCGGTTTCTATAATTTAAGGAATTAAGGATAGTTCTGTTTGAATTTGTTAAAACAAAGTAAGTAATAATTTTAAGTAATTGTAATCTATTAAGTATTGTAAGTTTAAGTGATTGAAATCTATTAAGTATTGTAAGTTTAAGTAATTGTAATCTATTAAGTAAGTTAAATAATTTTAAGTAATTGTTATTCTAAAGAATAACAATTACTTAAAATTGTTTCTTTCTTTTGAAATCTACTACAGCTCATGACAATTTTGATACATTTTGAATTTCTTATAATTATGAGCAATATTAAAAATTTTCTCAATTGCATAAAAAGTAAAGTCTATTTTTTATATATATGTTGAATACTGTACATAAAATATGCCCATTTAAAATGAGTATTTTTAAATCCTTGGTGAAAAGAGTGAGCAATAGCATCGAAGCTCTTTGAAAAAGAAAATGGTTTTACCATAATTATATTATCTATGCAAATAAGAATGATAGAACTCTTATCATTTAACAAAAAACTATGCAATAAGGTTTCGTTGGATCAATTCAAATAAATATTTTGAATATCCAGGGTTACTTATGTGTTAGGTAGTTGTTATATTATATGCTTTTTACTAATTAGAAAAATATATATTAAAATTAATCCTAATTTGTTTTCAAAAGATATTTTTTCTACTTGTTTTATCAAGTTTTTGTTTATTTTTTCTAAATTTAGTAATTCAGAAATGAAAAGTATTATATACATTTATTATAAAAATGCCTAAAATATAAACATTTTTTTCAAAAATATTTATTGCGTAGGAAAATCTCTTTCTCCCGATCCTAAAAATGCGTTGCTTTAATTATTTATAGGTATTTAGTAATGAAAATAAAACTTTCATATTTATTAAAAAAGATCAAAATATTATTAAATTTTGGATAGTGTTTTATTTTGTTGCACTTTAAACATTTTTTAATAATGGATTCAAATTAGACAAATTTTATTAAAATAAAATAAAATAAATATGCTAAAGAAAGAATTAGGATATTCTAAGTTAAATTTTTAAATTTAGAAAAATTCAAGCATATATTCAAAACTTAAGAAAAACTCAGGCATAAATGCCGTAACATTTATATTGCATAAATAATACATTTCTGTGGTATATAAAGTTTAAATAAGGGCGAATTTTTTTTGAATTTATTTAAATTTATTTAAATCAATTGTTTAATAGATGTATTTAACAGCTTTATGAGCTAAAGAAGTTTAAAGTTCATCAGTTAATGAATTATACGTATATATATGAACGTGAAATGAGCGCTTAGTAATTCGATCACACAGCTGTTTTATTCTATAAAGTGTTACATACTTTTAATATACTCTTATTAAATCATTTAAGCAAATGATAAAATTCTCATATACAATCTTAGACATTGATTTTAAATTGTAATACAAATTCTGATTTATAGATGCATTGGCTTCGTTAAATTGAAAATAATTTATTTTGTTGTATCGAACCAGAAAATTAGAGCACCTACCTAATATTTTTTTATTTTATTTATAATAATATTAAATCAACGTTTATATTCTATTTAAATATTTTTGCATGTCTTGCAAAAATAATTCATAGCATTTTAAAATAGCAATATTGAAGTTTCTTAAGAAAGTTTAATTTTGAGTTAGCAAAAACGTAAGAGAAAAATCTTTGGTGGTTATGAAATAATGAAATGTCGAAATTCTGTGAACCTCAAGTCGGGAAAAGTGACAGTGAGGTAAAGAATGGAAAAGAAAGGTTATTCGAGGCAATACAGGATAATTAAGTTCGGGAATATAAATTAAAGCAAATTCCCTGTCATAAATTCAAGGGAAGCAGGAGCCATTTATTTAGTATCAAGAACACAATATATTAAACCCTTAATTGAAATTATCTAAATCATTCCAAAGCGTGAACGACTAAGTATAGTATTGTATCATTTCATTTGATTTTTATTACATTTCTGTTTCTGATAAATGATTGAAAAATATACTCAATCGTTCCTTAAATATGCTAACGAAATAACAAAAAAGGAACTAAATACATAAAATATGCTTTTATATTACTTTAAAATTCCATTTAACTAAGAAATAGATATTCTACATTTAAGATTCATTTTAGTAATATATGTTAACGTGAGATTTCCCTCCTTGCTCGTCGGTAATGTAAAATTGCTACACATAATATAATTGCTATATATAATATAATGATGCTATATATAATATTAATTGCAGTATTCATAATGTCATTATTTAGCTGTATACAATTTATAATTTTAGAAGTTATTAATTCTTGTAAAATATACATTTCTTGTTATTTTTAATCATTTGAGTCAGTACAAACTTTAATACATTTATGACATTATTATCAAATATATTTTACATTAATTATAATTAAAGGTATTTGAAAATATTGGAATGATGAATAGTAACAAAAAGGACACTGGTTGCATATGAAATAGTAAAAGTACGAATGAACGTAATATTTAAAGTAAGTTTTAGTTCTAATTGTTCAACAATAAATGAAGTATAAACTACATTTGTTAAACTTTTATTTTAACATAATAGAGATTTAAGTTTAAAAACGTCGGAGTTTTTAACTGTACTGAAATTTCTGATTTCATGATAAAAAATATTTTGTTATTATCTACTCTTTATTTTTAGCTTTTTGACTGAATATTTCTGTTTTGTGTTCATTTCTCTAAACTTTTTTTATCTTTTTTCAAAAATTACATTATTTAATTACTTGTAAAAGTAATAGGTAAATGGATTTGGTAAAGATGTACTTTATTTTAAGCATTTTTTTAACCTTTTATTCACATCAATTTATTTTTGCTGGAAACTTTGCATTTATGTTCATTTAAATCAAGGTTTCTAAAATCCTTTGGTGTGGAGACCCCATAATATTTAGCAGATTTTTACTACCTCATATTTTTTACGAAAATTTAGTAGAACCCGATAAGCTTTTAGCAAGTCTGAGCGAAACTGCCAGTTTTCTTCAGTTGTACTGTAACATACTATTGCAGTTTCACGTCACAATCTTTAATTTTTAATTCTAAGTACCAGGAAAACAAAAACTTTAAGTAAATATAACAAAATTTAAAATGTAATTCGATAATAAAATTAAATTCAGATACATTGCAAAAAATGTTTGCTAATAGTAAAATTATAATAATAAGTTAAAGTTAATACGATGAAATAAATTTAAAAATTGCTGAAAGTTTTGGTGACCTCTTCTTTAGGTCCCACTACCCAAATTAGGATCACAATCCACATTTTAAGAAAATGTGATTAAAAAATTGGAGATTCAATGTTTAAATATAAAAGTGGAAAAAATATGAGAAAATTTTATAATTTTAAGAATTTCATTAAGTCATATTGAGACTGAATCGACTTAAATTAAAATATATTGATATATTTATAATAATAATTAAAAATTAAATTTAAAAGAAATATTAAAAATAAAAATATTCTTTTTTTTCTGAATCAATAGGTTTAAATCATTATTTGTACCCGGTAAAAACTCGGCTGTAATATATAATGTTTGTATGTGNATATATATATATATATATATATATATGCAGAATTATACAAACAGAATTAAAATAAATTAAATAATTCAGTAAATTATCAAATAAATCAAATAATTTCAAATGAAATAAATTTCATTTAAATAAATATTTTTTTTTCTTCGGCAACATGAATTAAGCATAAAAGGAAAAGACAGAATGCAAAATTAATTACTCTTTACTCAATTGAATGAGATAATAAAACTACAAGACATTTGTTCCTCTCTACAGGGGTACAGAAAAAATATAAGATTCTTCCATTGAATCAAAAAGTTATCGTAATAAATTTTAAGGTCATAGTTTATTCCACCTCTTCGGTTAGTTCTTGCTTGAAAGAGTGCGTTGAAGAACGATGAAATTGGCAAAGAAGAAAA